TTAGTCATGGCTGTCGGTTCTCCCTCTGAAGAAGTGCCATTGCACGAAAGGCCTCAGGAGGAACCAGACAGCACATGACACTACTGCCACCTGGAGCTAGAAGGAAGCCCAGGCGGCCATTTTATTGAAGGTATTGTGTCATTACTTGTTGCTCATCACTATATCCTGTCTGTTTCATGCGGTACTACAACAAATAAAAGTCATTTAATATACTACACTATGGGCACTTCTTTTGTGGCTCCTATTTGGAGCTATTAAGCCCACAGGCAGCAGTGAGTACCCAGTATATCCGGAGGAATGAGAGATCCTATCCAGGCTGATTACCCCACTAATCTTAAGGAGGACCTCTGGAACCAGTGGATTCTAACGCTTTCTTAACGGCTTGATGACTGTACCATGAGGAAAAGATCACCGGAGAGACCAGTTTACCTTGCGGATTATTACATATGCGCATTATCTATGCGCTTCCGGTGAGTGCGCATTTTTCACTTTTGACTGGAGTCACAAGCTCATCCGCTGTATTATCAGACTATATATCAGTTTATGGGCTTACATACGTTTACAATATATGTGGACATATTGGCATATGTTTGTTGCTTTATATGGATTTTAGCGCTACACCTCTTTTATATATATTTAATCCCTACACCCCAGACCTCTGGGAAGGCTAGGTCACCAGAACCCAAAGGCAGACCTGAAGGTAGATTTTACTATTACCTGCTGTACACATAAATTCATCTGCAATGGTGGGTGTGAGATCTGGGGAGAATGTCATTGGGATGGGTGGGGTAGGGGGTGCAGGTTTCAGAATGAAGAAACCAATTTGCATTGATGTACAGTTAACATTTGCGACAGAGACGTGCAACAAACAACTAATTTCTGGAGAAACACTGGCTGGTAAGGACTTTTTTGAAAAGCACATTAGGCCAGCAGTTATCAGTAGTAGTATTTAAAGGAGAAGTACAGCCAGCGGGTGTGAGAACTCAGTGATCAATAGTCATGTGACCGCTGAGTTCTCACACTTACAGCTGGCAGGGGACCGATGCTGCATCTACCTAGGTAAGTATGATTGTGGGAAAAAAACAAAACCCAAACTTTTCTTTTAATTGTTCCTGCTAGAGTATGTTCTCCTTTAACCTCTAGTTCAGCAGCATCACAACCTGTTCTTGAATGTGGTACAAGGAGGAGTCATTTGTCTGCTCATTTCTCTCTCTCTTCTGGAACGTGTTCACATTCAGAACATGTGTGTGTAGCAGAGTCTGGTTGGCTACTACAGCAGTCTCCCTTTGTGTGATACAATGCAGGGGATTACAGAAAGCTAATATAAAACACCAGTAAAAATACGTGATGGTTCTTTTATTAAAATGGAACTGAACATTATTTTTAAAAATGACAGAAGAGACCCAGTATAACGGCCAGCTCACTGTATAGTCTTGGCATGATTCTGTTCTGGGAAAAAAGTAACTCTCGTGCTCATGTGTGGGATTTACATCATCCTGGCCCAGCCTAGGAAGATGGCCAAAGACTGCAAACCTCACCCTATTATATTTATTTATTTCAGGTACTTATATAGCGCCATCAATTTATGCAGTGTTTTACATATGTATTGTACATTCACATCAGTCCCCTAACCCTCAAGGGGCGTACAATCTAAGGTCTCTAACTGACATTCATACATATATATTAGGGCCAATTTAGACAGGAGCCAATTCACCTACCAGCATGTCTTTGGAGTGTGTGAGGAAACCGGAGTACCCGGAGGAAACCCACGCAGGCACAGGGAGAACATGCAAACTCCAGATAGGTGGTGCCGTGGCTGGGATTTGAACCAACGACCCTAGTACTGCCAGGTGGAAGTGCTAACCATTTAGCCACTGTGCTGCCTATATGAAAAACAAATCTTTTTATTCTGTCTGTATTGCCTTTGGAGATTTACCCTTACTTTCTTTCTGGTAATTCTTTTTCAGTAGAGAACAGGAGGTGAGGGGACATCTCTCTAATGGAGTCCTATAGAGCAGCAAAACCCTTTTGAGTCATGAGAGAATGAAAACAATTAACAATTCTCTGATTTTTTTTTTGGTAGGTAAAATTATAAATGAACATTGGTGCAACAGATTTAATTATATCCCTGATAAATTATCCAAGGCATAGCAATCTAGAGTTGGCCACAGACACCAACCTCACATTGTCTTTTAATGAAAGAAACATTCTGGGTATGTTGGGGTTCCTTTTCAAGTAATAGAGGTGCAAAAGGGAAGCTGTGTAATTAAAGTCTCAGCACTTTTAGAATAGTTATTGGATAAGATTTTCTAATTTGTCTTTTTACTTAGCGAACAGTCATTCGGGGGTATCAGAAGCTGAATTGTGGACATTAGATAGACAAAGGAAATGATAAAAAAAATTGCTGACAGGTGGCATGAGAAAAATCAAAACGTGTACAAGAAAATCACGTATGACGGAAAGCATATTTGTTCCATATTTGATGTGAAGTATATAGCTTTATAAGGATCATCTATGAATTTACCCTTTCTCCCGTTATAATGCAGTTAGATATGTCCCAGTAAAAGCTACAAAGCATTTATAGGGTAATATGCACAGGCAAAAAATCCATCCTGGGCAAGCATGACTAATTCCCAGCAATGCACAGCTAGTGTTCTTTCCTAGTTACATTCAGCCTCACCTGACTCTCGTTCCACTTCCATGTTGCTGTGACAGTGTGTGACAAAACAAAACGGGTTGTCAGGGTCAGTAGGTGCTGACTCCAGCAGACCTTATCAGCAGTTCTTCCACAGTGATTCAGCAAGCCTGATCTGCTCACATACACAGCAGTCCAATCTGCAGCCATGTATGATACAGGCAGGCTAAAGCCATTGTTTTCACACAACACAGCCAAATGGCAGGTGTGAGCAAACACATTTATATCAGATAAAAGAAGATCAGATCTTAGTGTTTGTGTTCACTATAGTTTATCGAAAAATCATACACACTTGTAAAATGGCAAATATGTTTTTAGATACAGTAGTGAATATAAATTAATCTGCTGAGTTGTAACACTTCCTGCAATGGCAAGAGAAGAGCTTTTGATTGTCTGTCTTGTAGATTTTACCTACCTTGCCTTGTGATGTATCATTTCTATAGAGAAATATGTTTGTGTTGTGTCTTGGTAAAGGAGGCCATACATGGATCAACAGGCACTGGCCGAATTTCAATCCATGTATGGGCAGGCTGGATGTACAGAAGGAGATTTACTGATCAGCTTCTGTATAACCACCCTGTCGGGTTTTTTCCAAACGATCAATGCCACCGACTATAGCCAGCAACACTGATCAGTGTGTTCTGATGGCGGGGAAGCCGCTCCGCCATCAGAACACAATGGGGCAGCAGGAGTTACTCCCTCATCCACACTGAATGTGTAGATATGGTAATCAGGTCCATTAAAATAAAAGATGAAAGGATAAGTTCATTTTTTAAACAAAATAAGTAAATGCACATTTATTCGCAGGTACAAAAGTATGCATTTACTATTTTTTTTTTCATTTAGGAGCCTGGAAAGGACTGCACCTGCGATCAGCAGATCACTGGTTCCATGCAAGACTCCTGCAGACTATTAGTGTGAGCCGTCAGCAGGCAGTTTTACACTGACAGGAAGAATCGATGAACTACCGCAACAATCAACAGCGCCGTGGTAGGTACAGAACTACAAGCTGATAGCCGCAAAGGCTGTCAGGACTTGTAGTTTCCTATTCACAGAACTCTGAATGCTGAAGCCGCTCCGCCACCAGAACACAATGGGGCAGCAGGAGTTACTCCCTCATCCACACTAAATGTGTGGATATGGTAATCAGGTACATTAAAAAAAAAAGATTAAAGGATAAGTTCATTTTTTAAACAAAATAAGTAAATGCACATTTATTCGCAGGTACAAAAGTATGCATTTACTATTTTTTTTTTTTTCATTTAGGAGCCTGGAAAGAAACTGCACTTGCGATCAGCAGATCACTGGTTCCATGCAAGACTCCTGCAGGCTATTAGTATGAGCCGTCAGCAGGCAGTTTTACACTGACAGGAAGAATCAATGAACTACCGCAACAATCAACAGCGCTGTGGTAGGTACAGAACTACAAGCTGATAGCCGCAAAGGCTGTTAGGGCTTGTAGTTTCCTATTCACAGAACTCTGAATGCTGCGACCAGGGAGGGGCAGCGCCGCACCTCTGTGTTTTTAAAGTTGTGACAGCTAGCAGGAGGAGAAGATCCCCCACTAACTGTTCCACTGGGGGATGGGGGAGGTCAGTTGTGGGGGCTGGTATTACAGTAACATGTTACACCCTGAATATAGGAGTAACATGTAACCAGGGACGGACTGACCATTTGGGAACTCGCGCACTGCCCGAGAGCCCGGGGTCAGTAGGGGGCCCCATGAGATGCCCCTGGTACCTTTCATAGGTTTTTTTGGGTGTGGTTTGAGTGTAGGCGAGGACCAGGGGCCCCATGATCCCCTATTGCCTGGGGGCCCCATGAGTTGTCAGTCTGCCCCTGCATGTATCATGTTATGAAAGGTGTACTGATCATTTAATAAATGGGCAGCTTTACTGTCTATCTACAGTAGTCAGCAGTGTCTACTTTGTTTACTGTTTATCTAAGACATTCTCTGTTTTGTGGGACACTGCGTTTGTTGTTCACTTGCTCTGATATTTACATCAAATTTTCAGCTCTAAAAAATGACAACCATATGGTAGCTCAGAAAACGTTGGTGAACATGCAGTACACAAGTGGTGATATGAAAACCAACTATAGTCAGATGTCATATTTCTGTCTGAACTCCACAGCAGAATACTCTACATCAATCTACAGAAACAAATGTTATTTGAAATATTTACCATTATCCCTTTTCACAACAGAAAATCATATTTACCGATCAAAATGAAAACGTTGTAATATAATCCTCTTTTTTTGCGATACAAGAAAAATTGCTAACTAAATTGTATAGTTGTTCACATACCGTTAAGGAAAGAGCCATACAGAAGAAGGTGAAGTTCTTAATGTGGTTTTTTGTCACCGCGCTGCAACTGTTTCCCATTTTATTGCTAGGATTATTCTGGAAAAGGCAAATTGAACAGTTTTAGTTTTCTTTGTTGCTAGAACATGCCGAACATCAGTAATCTATAACCCATGACCTTGTGAGAATGTTTAAAGCGTATTTCCACTTTTGCAGTCAGAATAGAGAAAACTCACTATTTGTTAGATATGTACTTTTTTAATATTCCATTAATATAACTTTTAGGTGTTTTTGAGGCCTCATGGCAGATTGCAAGCATTTCTGGACAGTCTTACAGTGTCTCTGCCCCTACACAGACTGGGGACTCCCTAAACACACAATGCAGGAGGCCAGCCTCTAATTCTTCAACCCTTTGTTAGGACACTAAGGGGTTTATTTACTAAAGCTGGAGAGTCCAAAATCAGACTCCCTTCTGCATAGAAACCAATCAGCTAACCTCAGCTTGTTCAATGAAGCTTTGGCAATGAAACCTGGAAGCTGATTGGTTTCTATGCAGAAGGGAGTCTGATTTTGGACTCTCCAGCTTTAGTAAATAAACCCCACAGTGTTCATATCTATTTGCAACTGATTATCAAGACTTGCAAGCACACACGGACAGGGTTTATTATGGTACACATTAAAGCCTAAGTTTACTTAAAGTTACTTTTTAAGACAAAAATCAGCACATGGGATATAACCTACCTTTAAAGCAAAGTGTCCCTTGTGCTGTGTCCTTGTTTAGCACAAATCTTTCTCCTCTGATGCCCCCTTCCCCCCTGGTTTGGCAGGGAATGATAGAAAAAAGGCAGCAGTGCCAGGCACTCATCAAAGGCACTTAATTAAGCCCATTCTTTTTGCCCAGCTCCTCTATTCATAAAAGCTATTACTACAACTTCTATGAATGAAACACGATCCATGAATGGAGGAGGCAGACGTGTCAATCATCTGCCCATCCTCCATGCATAGATCATGCTTCATTCATAGAAGCTATAGTATGTCTATAAATGGAGGAGCTGGGTAGAAAAAGTAGGCATAGTCAGGCTCTTTTGATGAATGACTATCACAACTTGTTTAGTTGTATTAAACCCTGCCACACTGGGAGATTGCAGCAGGGATGGGAAGATATTGGAGGAAATACATTTCTGCTAAACCAGGATAAAGAAGCACAATGGACACATCACATTGATCATCCCTGCATTCAACACAAAAATTCAGATTAGGAAATGTAAAAACAGGTAAGGCCCCCTCCCCAAGGGGTGGATTCCACCAGGAGTCTGCCTGCTCAGCGGGGAAATCTGTCTGCTGATCCCCACTGAGTAAGCGGATGGCTTGTTTGTGTCCACTCAGCCTATGCAGAGTGGACATAGAAACAGCCTGCTGTCCTCTATGGACGGTGGGTTGTAAACGGACTCCCTGTCCGTTTATACCCGACTGCCATTTGGTCTGATCCACTAGACAGATGGGGAATGGATCCAAATGGATACAGGCAGACACAAGTCTATCTAGATCTGCTGCTCCACAGAGGATAATGGAGGGTCCAATCGAGTCAGCCTAAAAAACTGACAGGTGGGCCTGATTGGTCCACCTGTGTGAAAGGGACCTAAAAAGCTAAGCAGAAATGTTAAAATATTTAAAAAAAGATATTCTATGTAAATAAGAATATGTAACAAATATAAAGTAGGTTTTATTCCAAAAGTGCTTATAAACCCTTACATGTGCCCAGTGAAGTAACTAGGCTCAGGTGATACACACAGATGAAACAAATCCTCCTACATAAGTTGTACCTGTTTATCTACAGTCCTCTCTTTTCTACAGCCATTCACAGTGCAGAATTTATACAGCTTGTCTTAGCAGGGAGCTGAAAGTACAATCAGTGAGGAGGGCTGGGAGCTGATTGGAGGGAAGAACAGAGATGAGGCTGTCAGCCATAGGCTGTGTGCTGGAGCTCCCTCCCCTGTTACTTTTTTTACCTCTTGGTGTCAGGAAAACTTGTCAGAAATGCAGACAGAAATGACAGTTAGTGCTGTTGATAGAGACGAGTTCACATTAGAGAGGGATATGCTTTGTTTATATTTCATGTCTGGTTTACAACCATTTTAAGGTTGCTGCTCTCAGCATTACTTTTCATGTTTGAAACATTTTGTTAAGACTTTTCAAACTTCACTGTGAGCAAGATTGTTCCAAGACAGTCAGCCAGGATCAGGATAACAGTGCATACTATTTCCCTTTAGTATCAACAAAGGCAATTCTGTCCTCACAGGTTCATTTTAATTTTCTAAAGAACATTGTTGATATTCCTGGAGGGTTGCTAAAGGACCATTCAGATGTATAACAGCCAATAAAAACAATATGAATAGAAGATAGGGTGATATAAAAGAACTTTTACAAGAACTCTTTTCGCCCACACATTGGTTAATTGCCAAGGGTCATCCTATAAAACAGAAGAAATCTGAGAAATCCTTTGAAACTGAAGGACATCTGGAGTAACAGTAAATTGTTGTGTGACAAATACACCAACCTTTGACACACATACACAATCTGGTAAATATGTATGCTGAGTGCTTGCATAATGTGTATTATGACATAACGCTGATTTCTGTTGTATTTTACAATGCTATGCACAGTTTTATTGTTGTTTTCCAGTACCTTACATATTCTTTCATTCTTACTCATCCCCTCACAAAAAGCTGAGTTTTCACCTATAAAGCTGAAGTTTAACTTTTTTTTTCTCTACTGCTTTAGTGAGATAACTTACCTGTAATCTTTACTGCAGGGATGCCCCATCCTCTTCCTAACAACGACTGTATGGCGCTGTTGGGGTTAATAGTTTCAAGCTCTGGGGTGAGCTACTGGGAAAAAAAAGGCATCCAATGAAGACCCACCCCCTCCTCCTCCATTGAGAAATGTGCTTTTATTGCTTTTAACTGCCTGTACCATGAACTGTGAATGGGGAAGGTAATCCTGTGACTCCTCAGACTCTCCCTCATTTGTGTTACAGGCAGTAAAAGCAATCAATTAACTTTTCTCAATGAACAAGGAGGGAGGAGGGGGTGAGTCCTCATTGGGAGCCCTACTTATAGCAGCATAGCCCAGAGCCTGAAGCTATTAACCCTTTGCACACCAGAAAATCATTAACAGGAAGAGGAAGGGGCATCCCAGCAGTGAAGATTTCTCTAGGATTCATCTGTCTTGCATGATGTGGATCACCCTGCATCACAGGTGAGTTACCCCACTAAAGCTTTCAAGAAAATAAAAAATAAAAGAAATAGCTAAACTTCAGCTTTAAGGAAATGTTTACTAATATCGCTATTCATAATTTTATTATACAGTCCATGCTTTAATTTGTGATATTTACACAATCCTGTCTGGAGACATTTCTATGCTGCTGTTAAAGCCCACAAAGCTTAAAGTGATATTAAAGTGGTTGTAAAGGCTCACAAAGCGCAGCTCAGCCCTGTCCCCCTCTCGCTCCTCACTGGCTGTGTCTCAGCCAATGAGGAAAGAGATCCGGCAGAGCTGAGCCTGTGCACATCGCTGGATTGAGATTGGACTGAGGTAAGTATTGGGGGGCTGTTTGGGGAGCAGCACACAGATTTTTTTTTTTACCATCTTCAGCCTTTAAAACCACTTTAAACTTCTTCTTATTAACCACTTCAACCCTAACACCTGAATGCTCCCTATGGACCAGAGCAACTTTTATATTTCTGCTATCAACCTGTTTATTCACCAATAACTTTATCACTACCTAAAGAGGAGGTCCAGTCAAAATGTAAAAAAATAAAAGTCAGCAGCTACAAAAACTGTAGCTGCTGACTTTTAAAAAACAGATACAGGTGAAACTCGAAAAATTAGAATATCGTGCAAAAGTTCATTTATTTCAGTAATGCAACTTAAAAGGTGAAACGAATATATGAGATAGACTCATTACATGCAAAGCAAGATAGTTCAAGCCGTGATTTGTCATAATTGTGATGATTATGGCTTACAGCTCATGAAAACCCTAAATCCACAATCTCAGAAAATTAGAGTATTAGATGCAATCAATAAAACAAGGATTGTACATAGAACAATATCGGACCACTGAAAAGTATAAGCATGCATATGTACTCAGTACTTGGTTTGGGCCCCTTTTGCAGCAATTACTGCCTCACTGTGGCGTGGCATGGAAGCTATCAGCCTGTGGCACTGATGAGGTGTTATGGAAGACCAGGATGCTTCAATAGCGGCCTTCAGCTCTTCTGCATTGTTCGGTCTCATGTCTCTCATCTTTCTCTTGGCAATGCCCCATAGATTTTCTATGGGGTTCAAGTCAGGCGAGTTTGCTGGCCAATCAAGCACAGTAATCCCACGGTCATTGAACCAGGTTTTGGTGCTTTTGGCAGTGTGGGCAGGTGCCAAGTCCTGCTGGAAAATGAAGTCAGTATCCCCATAAAGCTCGTCTGCGGAAGGAAGCATGAAGTGCTCCAAAATCTCCATCAGGCCATCATGCTGCCAGGCTCATCCATCTTGCCAACTGTTTAGTGTCTAGTATCCCTCTCTGCCAATCCCTCCACTGGCTTCCACTCACCCAACAAATAAAATTCAAAGTACTAATAACAACCTACAAAGCCATCCACAACTCTGCCCCCAGTTACATCAATAACCTCAAACTACCAACGAAACTGCTCTCTTCAGTCCTCCCAAGATCTCCTGCTCTCTAGTTCCCGTATCACCTCCTCCCATGCTCACCTCCGAGATTTCTCCTGAGCTTCTCTCATCCTATGGAACTCCCTACCAGGGGCGGACTGACCATCTGAAAACTCGGGCACTGCCCGAGGGCCCGGGGTCAGTAGGGGGCCCCATGAGATGCCCCTGGGACCTTTTTCATAGGCTTTTTTGAGTTTGGGCAAGGACACAGGGGCCCATGATCCCCTATTTCCTGGGGGCCCCATGAGTTGTCAGTCCGCCCCTGCACCCTACTCCAATCTGCCTGGCTATCTCCTAGTCTATCCACCTTTAGCCGATCCCTGAAAACCCTTCTCTTTAAAGAAGCCTATCCTGTTTTCAACTAATGTATTGTTTTTACTTTCTCATCAGCTCATCCCCCACAGTGATTACCTTTTGTATCACTTGACCCTCCCTCTTAGATTGTAAGCTCTAATGAGCAGGGCCCTCTGATTCCTCTTGTATCAAATTGTATTGTAGCTGTAATGTCTGCCTTAATTTTTTAAAGTGCTGCGCAAACTGTTGACGCTATATAAATCCTGTATAATAATATTTGGGAAATCAGACAGGGAAATCAAATTTTACAGTTTGCTATGGTCCTTAGAAGATATAAAAGGCATTAGGGAATTCAACCCCCCAAAATGGCTCAAAAACTGAAATATCAATTTTGCCTGTCCTTAATTTTTAATAATTAGTTAAGATAGGATGGTTTTGTTTGACATAATTCATATTTTAAACATTTGTGGTGATTTAAGGTAGCTTCTTGTTTTGTTTAACTTTTTGAATATTAATATTTTGAACTGAATAATAATCATTTTTTTTCTCAAAAAAGGTATAGTATGACCTGAAAATTAATGAAAATTTTCTGCAATAGAAGAGTTAAAGAGTTAAAGTAGAAATAAATGTGAATGGATACTTTTACCTTGTCAAATGCAGGATAAACAGCTCGGATCTCGGTTAGCCAACCATATGGCATGTGTCCAACAGGGTAGGTAGCTGTAAGAATGGCCACTGCCTGTGAACAGAGGACATGCACACCCATTAATACTGGCCAGTCTACAAGAGGAAAGGCTATGTCCCCGACATTTACATTTAACATACAGTATTTACTGTTCTCTACTGTCACATCCCTTATCACACTTACAATGAGAAACTGAAATATTGCAAGAGACCTGACACAAAGATCTTGTTAAAAGAATTCACACAGGATATGAAAAGTAACCTTCATTCTAAGGTGACATTACGGGTTGTTTTTATTTACAATCTTTGATCCTTTCCTAATACGATTCAATGCATGTCAGATGATATTTCACACCTAGTTTTGTTTAAGTGAAATACTGTAAGTACTAGCAGTGTGTGTTTTGTTTGGAAGTAAAATGCAATATATAAATATTGCTGAAACAATAAATAACTGGAAGCAAACATTTATGAGAAATGGTGCTTATAATATAAGGTGATCTCCCAAAAAAAATATATGCAAAGGACAGCAAGAGACTGTCTATTTCAACAACCGTTTCCGTAAGTAGAAACAAACATATTCCAATATTTTCCCTGCTGTATTTTACATGGACAGTTCCTGAGGCATTTATTTAACCGCTTGTCGTCCGTCCTATAGCAGAAATACTGCTAGAGGGCGCCGCGGGTGCGCAAAATCACATATATATATATATATATATATATATATATATATACACGTGATTTTGTAGTTCCGAGTAGGGGTCCTACCCGCGCTGCCATTCATGGCTTCAGCTGTCAATCACTGAGTCCTAGCCGGTGTTTACTTGCTGGCACCTGGTGATTGCCGAGTAATACCGATGGGGGGAGAGAACTGTATGCAAACAATACAGTTCTCTACCCTGTCAGCTCTTGTACACTGCTTTGTATAGCTCTGCATAGCAGAGTCATACAAAGCAGTGTGTTTACAGTGAAGCACACACACAGCACATACTGTGAAGCAGCACGCAGTTAACCCTTTGATCGCCCCAGATGTTAACTCCTTCCTGCCCAGTACCATTAGTACAGTGTCAGTGTTTTTTATTAGCACTGATCACTGTATTGATGTCACTGGGGATGTCAGTGACACCAAGTCAGTTCCCTCCCGTGTGAGACTGCCTGCCCCAGTCCCGCTATAAATTGCTGATCTCCGCCATTACTAGTAAAAACAAAATATAAAATTCCAGTATATATACCGCCATTTGTAAACGCTATATCTTTCACGTAAACCAAGTATTGGGGGGGGGGGTTTTAGCAAAGACATGTCACAGAAAATTTTTTGGCCTAAATTTTTTATGAAACTTGATTTTTAAAATTTTTTACTGAATATGTTTAATAGTAAAAAATCAAAAATATTGTTTTTGTGCTCAAAATTGTCGGTCTTTTTTTTTTTATAGCGCAAGAATTAAAAACGCAAAGGCGATCAAATACCACCAAAAGAATGCTCTATTCATGGGAAAAAAAGGCGTAAATTTAATTTGGGTTCAGTGTTGCATGATCACGCAATTGTCAGTTAAAGTAACGTAGTGCCGTATCGCACAAAAATGGCCTGGTCAGGAAGGGGGTAAATCCTCTTGAGGGCAAGTGGTTAAACCATGTTTCTTAAAGGAAATTTATTTTGGTTTGGTACATAACAGAATAACAGAATTCCTAAAGGCAAATAGACTGTTCAGTTTGCAATGGAATTTGCTGCAGAGCTTGAGGTTGACACAGAGCTTAGTAAATGGGGTGAAGCTGTGCTGACTAACATCGACCAATCGTGCAAAAAAGGCGGGGTTTTTTTTTGCATGCATGTGATTGGTTATTCTTTCCAAAGTGAATTTTCACCACAGTCACCTAACTCTGGGGAAAATTCCTTTGCAAAGTGCAACTTTCCTTGCAAACTGAAAATCCTATTTGCCTTTAGTAAATCAGCCCCATTGTCTTTATTATGGCCAGGACTGAATAAATAAATGATTTTCTTTTTTCTCAAGGCAGGTAAAGACTTAGGCTCTTCTTTACATATTTTCCAGTATTTCCTTTACTGCTTCCTTGCAAAAAAGTATGCTTGCAAATAATGCTTACAGAGCTCAATGGCTCAAACTGAATTTTACACAAACACAGACACCCACACGTGATTCTCCTTCTCCTTCCAAAGGGCTTCAGGGAGGGTTTACCTACCTTAAAGTACATATCTAATGATTTAGATAACTATAGCGCTCTGGGAAAACCATTGCCATATATTAAAAGTTTATTTGTAAAAAAAAAATGTTATATATCCAAATAGAATGATTCATATCATTATCGCTGTAATGTAATTTAGTGATGAGCTATATCTTTTGAACCAATATAGCACCTGCAAGTACCTTTGATATCTGTGATCCTAGGAAGCCTTTGGATTCAAGGCACACACTGTACAAAAGGTCTCAACATTTGCCGAACATGGCCATTGGAAACAACTGGACTGGTAAATGGTGGTGGGAAAGCTTAGCTCTGGCACATCAGGCAGAAATTGAAAACCTCTGTTTCATATTAAATGCGCTCAACCAGGGAGAGTTAATTTGTAGATAGATCACCCACCCTCAAGATCCTAAAAGCTACTGTTAGGCCACTGGAAGAGGCTGAGATTTCTTTGTCACAATGCCAGTGTTTCTGCAAGGAAGCACTGTTGTTTTTTTGGCCCCACCCTTTTGAGACTCTAACCTGATTGCAATGGATATATGGCTGGTATCATAGTGACTGGGAATTTGAAACACTCTTACTATACAAATACCACCAGCCTGTATGACTGCTATCTTTCAGGGGGTGTTTTTTTGTTAGAAACATAAAGAGAAGTGAAAGGGGCAAACTAGCATATTCAAATCCAGATGGAAGTGGTCTGAAAATACCATAAAAGTGGATACCTAATTATTTGGTAATGCAGAGTTTAATCAAGTGAGTAAAGCGTCTGTAGGCCAATTTCAAAACCAGCTTATTTCTGGTAAAGTCATGAATCTGTAAATCATATAAAAAAGTAAATAAAGCTTATAACATATATATATATATAATAATAATAATAATAATATAAATGTGTATATATATATATACTGGAGATTTCCCTTTGGCTCCTGGTGAGCTTTATTTATCTGAGCTCTATCCCATAGGGAGGTGCCATTGGATGCAGACATTGTGAAAGTTTACAAGCACACTGAGGATTCTGACATGAGCCACAGGCTCATACACTGTTGTAATGGCAGCTATCTGGAGAGGGTTGTCTTCACAGAGAGATGGTGATTGGCCTCTGAACAAGTTTGAGAAGAGAGAATTTACATGTGACAAATGTCAGGCTCTTTCTTCAGGATATATGCACTGATATTATTTTTTCACTTGTTCACTGGGACATGTCTTCTCTTTTTGTATTTGTGTTTTTCATGTTCTGATTTATTTGGAAATTTATTTTGACACATGGAAAGTTATATTTATGTTCTTTGTACGCTACACATTTTAGTTGTTCTAAAATATAAAAACATTCATGTATATTCAAAAAGCATTTCATAATACGTTGCAGTAAGTTTGTCACTTTATCAATTTTGAGTTTGTAGCTTCTCATACTCTAACATGGTCCTCTAAGACAATGCTGCAATTAAGAAGTGTTCCTGAAAATTATTTAGAGTATGAAAAGCTGCAGGAATCCATGGAAGACATATAGTATACTGCATCATTCATTATGATAAATGCCATCAAAATAAAACTCATTTGGTAATCTACATTTATAAAAATCTTGGTGACACATCATAGTACAGGCATTCATTAAAGTTGTGATTCCTGACCTACCTCTGTGGCTGCAGCACTTCCACCAAGGTCACGCGAAACAAAGAGGTTAACAATGGGTCTGCTGATTCGCTGAGTGGCTAATATTAAAGCTAACGGCCACCAAAAACTCAGCATCTTTCTTATTGTGGCTTCTCCCTATACAGTGAAAGAAAATCTATTAGCACAATGAAAAGATTACTGAAAAGCATAATGCTCAATAGATTTTTCTCGTTTTCCTGATCATTTAAATTTTGCAATGTTAAACCTCTACAACTGACATAACAGAAATGTACAAAGGGAAAAAAGTACCAAATAAAACAGTTTCACATGTTTATTGCAGCTGCTGGAGCAGATTTGTGCTGTCACAGAACAGATGTGAGTTAAATAGTGTAGACTCATCTCTACGTGACTCAGATACCAATATGTACATGTGAAAGCCTGTCAGCTTTTCATAAAAGCTGCTGCTGAAATGGCTTAAAATGTGCAAGAAAAATAAACCATGCCTTTAATCAACTTACTAATATCCCATTTTCTTCAGCGATTCCTTACAATGACATTAACAGACGACAATCTACTACGTCATACATATTTAAAAAGTGCTTACATATTGGTAAATTAAACATGCAAATATAGATTTACAAAGTTACATAGGAAATCAGGTAGAAAAAAAGTCCATCTAGTTCAATCAACAGAGAAAAGAAAAAAAACGAATAAACTGAAAACCTCCATTAGACATAACCCCGTACCCACAGTTTATCCAGAAGAAGGCAAAAAAAACCCTTACAGTATGGTCCAATTTTACTCCACCAGGAGGAAAAAAATCCTTCCTTATCCCATAAGCCAGGGGTCTCCAAACTTTGTAAACAAAGGGCCATCTTACTGTCCTTGAGAATTTAGGGGGGAGCCGGACTAGGGTCAGTGGGAATAGAAAATGTCCTGTCATCCAGTGGGTGTAAACAATGCCCTATCTTTGTCAGTGGGAGGACTAGTGCCCCATCGTTGTTCTCAGTGGAAGGACTAGTGCCCCATCATTGTTCTCAGTGGGAGGACTAGTGCCCCAGCATTGGTGTCAATGGAAGAAAATTCTGCCCAATTGTTGTTGTCAATGGGAGGAATAGTGCCCCATCATTGGTGTTAGTGGGAGAAACTGTGCCCTTTCTTTGGTGTCAGTGGGAGGAATAGTGCCCCGTCATTAGGAGGAATTGTGCCCTTTCTTTGGTGTCAGTAGGAGGAATAGTGCCTCATTGTTGGTGTCAGTGGGGGGAATATTGGCCCATCGTTGGTATCATGTTTAGCGTTATTCAGATTTATGCCCTATTGTTAGTGGGAGGAATTGTACCCTTTCAGTGAAAAGAATACTGATCCACTATTGGTGTCAGCGACAGAAATTATGTCCCATTGTTGGTGTCAGTGGATAGAATAGAGCCCCAAGGGCCGGAAAAAGATGAGCAAATTTGGCCCCCAGGCCGCAGTTTGGAGACCACTGCCATAAGCAATGGGATATTCCCCAACATACTTTGGTGTTATTAATAACTCCTTAAAATACTACAGGTACAAACTACAAATAATATACACGTATGTGATTTTGCTGCTATTGTCAGGAGCAGGAAAATTTCTGTTGGGTTGTTTTTTTGATGTAAGTTATGGTTAAAGCAAGAAATATACAGCTAAATTAAGAAAAAACAAGTATTTTTTAAATTATTTTTTTGCCAGTTTTCTTTTCATAATTAAAACCAAAAAATCAGAAGATATCTGTTACAATTTACCACCAAATGAAAGCTTAGGTTTTCCTGAAAAAAAAGCAAGGTATAATTCACCTGGATACATTAAGTAGTTGCAATGATATGTACAGTTTAACTAACACGTCAAAACTTTGTTCAGTGTTAAGATTTGTTTTACTCTCCGTCATAAAGGGGTTCAGGTCAAATGAAAGATTTTTATTGTTCTTTACATACTAAGTGCTATAGCAATGGTTAAAAATACCATGAGCTAGCAGCATGCTAGAGGGTTCAACTGACTGCTGCTTTCACACACGAGCAGCAGCCAGTTCTCCCTCGAGCTGGCTGCTTTCACACACGAGCAGCCAGCCAGTTCTCCCTCGAGCTGGCTGCTTTCACACACGAGCAGCAGCCAGTTCTCCCTCGAGCTGGCTGCTTTCACACACGAGCAGCAGCCAATTCTCCAGCGAGCTGGCTGCTTTCACACACGAGCAGCAGCCAGTTCTCCAGCGAGCTGGCTGCTTTCACACAGGAGCAGCAGCCAGTTCTCCAGCGAGCTGGTTGCTTTCACACAGGAGCAGCAGCCAGTTCTCCAGCGAGCTGGCTGCTTTCACACACGAGCAGCAGCCAGTTCTCCAGCGAGCTGACTGCTTTCACACACGAGCAGCAGCCAGTTCTCCCGCGAGCTGGCTGCTTTCACACAGGAGCAGCAGCCAGTTCTCCAGCGAGCTGGCTGCTTTCACACATGAGCAGCAGCCAGTTCTCCAGCGAGCTCGCTGCTTTCGCACATGAGCAGCAGCCAGTTCTCCCGCGAGCTGGCTGCTTTCACACACGAGCAGCAGCCAGTTCTCCCGCGAGCTGGCTGCTTTCACACACAGCACCTGAAAAGTTCTCTAATCAACCTCACTGCATGAGTGCTGTTGATTGGAGCACCGAGTCTGTGACCCTTTTGCAGATTTCCCCACACATTCCATCAGTGAAACTTATGGCAGCAAGACAGTAAGTAAGGGGATCTCTCTAATGGAGCAGCACCAGATATACAGTAAGTAAAAACAACAGGCATTGTAATCCTTCCCCATACTAAACTTAAAGATAAAACTAGCATTTTTCCTACCCCAAAAATGCTTCTTAATATTTCAAGCTTACCCCTAGTTCTGGACCACTTCTCTCAGGTATCTTGTCATGTATGTTCTTGTAATATCCTAAACATAATGTTGTGCAGCGCACAAGTGCTCCTATGTATAAGGAGAGTATTGGAATTAGAAGAGGCTCCCGGCATTCCAAATGACTGTGGAGCAAAATGGCAACAAACACAACCTACAAAGCAAAGAAAAAAAATCAGCATTTATAATTAATTCATACAAACAAGCAAGCAAGCTGACATTATACAATACACCTGTCGTAAGGCCAGACATTAAAAAAAAAATTTCTGCTGCAGCTGTGCATAGGAATCTATCATATTCCAGGTTTTATTGTCAAAGTTTAACTGAACAAGCTAAAGGTAGAAGCTGCTTGGCTACCATGCACAGCTGCACCAGATTCTGACTTCACCCGTTTTAGTAATCCACCCCTAATGCCTAATAAACCCTCTGTTTATTCCGCTCACATACAAAAGTAATGTTAATATTTCCCAAAGCTCTTTTTCTAGGAAAAATATACAGTAGTACTGAATATCAAGTTAAAACACTACAAATAAAATAGGCCAAGAACAACATACAGTAAAATAGCTAACCACAGTTATTTACATTCAACTGAACTTTTGCAATGTTGAAGATGTTTCACCACTCTTCCAGGTAGCTTCTTCCTCAGTTCTATTATGTGCCAAGATACCCTAGCATTTATTTCCACATGGCTATCTCAGTAACCGTAATTGATTCACCACTGAATGTGCCAAAAGTAGAGGTTGACTGTACAAGCCCTGGAACTATTGTTAATAGTTTGAGAAGAAGTGAACTGATGTCAAACCACTAAGGTAAAGTTGTTAAATAGGCATTCTATGTGGGTGACAGATGATGTTGAAGGCCCCAACCCCTGTTAGGGATGGTTTTTCTAGTTTGACACAGATGATCTCCTTCACGTTTCTAGAAAACCAGTTGTCCTCTGTTCAAAATGTGCCCCCACTGTACCTTCTTCGTAAGATTCTTGGAACTCTTTGAAATTGAAGAAGCTACTTGAATGAGTGGTAAATCATCTTCAACATTACAGAACAAGTACAGCTGAATGTCTCTAAATACTACTAGCTATATTACCCCAAAAATATTAGAGCCTTCACAGGCATATTCATAACAAAATACCAAAGAATTGTGAAGTAGCAATTATTTAGCTAATCTTTGAAACCAGTTTATTAGGTTGACCTCAGCTTCTAACCACAAAACTAATGAAGGCTGCAACCGAACATTTATTCTACTGGTTACCTTTACCTGGTGGGCTAAATGTATGCATAGATAAAAGGTGACAGTATACATGCATAGCAGCAGACACTATGGGGTTTATTTACTGAAGCTGGAGAGTCCAAAATCAGACTCCCTTCTGCATAGAAACCAATCAGCTTCTAACCTCAGCTTGTTCAATGAAGCTTTGGCAATGAAACCTGGAAGCTGATTGGTTTCTATGCAGAAGGGAGTCTGATTTTGGACTCTCCAGCTTTAGTAAATAAACCCCTATAAGCCAACCTATCTGAGATGAACTAGTGATTTCCGATTAGGATTTTTAAAGTTGATTGGTATTTTCACAGAGACTACACTGGTGTTGGGGTGTCTGGCTACATTATAGCACTTATAGTTCACATGACAATTAGGAGCGAATAAATTATTTTATGAATTATGTGTGTGTACTTCCAGCACTTTAAAAATAATGGTGAGACAGTAAGAGTGATAAAAGTGTTTTAAGCCGGATGATATCTAATGATGCCCTGACCTGATGCAAACTTTCATGGGTAAAAGTCGTTTCTGAACATCAAGCCTACGACTCTACAACTTCAGAAACTTATCAACTTATCCTGTGGGGGATATCATAGCCACTATGCAGCACAGTGAGGAACACAAGTCTATTAAAGTGGTTCTAACGCCGAAAGGATTTTTACGTTTGTGCATTCTATGCATGAAGGTAAAAAACATTCTGTCCAACAGAATCCCCTCCTGTTCCCCTTAACCACTTCCCGACCGGGCCGTTGTATATAATAAAACGGCCGGACGGTGGCAGTGCAGGGTCGGGTGGCCGTTTATAAACGGCCGCCCGCATCCGAGGCTCGTGCGCGGCTCCTAGAGCGCGCACCGTAGCGAGCCCGGAGGCCCGGTCGCCGTGTCCCTCGGATACCGGCGATCACCTGACGTGGTACAGGACCGTCCTGTACTATGTGACCGACTGTGTCCAATAAGGACACAGTCTTAATGTAAATAGAAGCCGCATGGTGCGGCTTCCGCCCCCTTGACCGCGCACGCGCGTGCCCAGAGATCGCCGGGTCCCTCAGATACAGGGGATCAGGTAACATGGTACAGGACCAATGAAATCGTCCTGTACCATGAGACCAACTGTGTCCAATAAGGACACAGTCTAAATGTAAACAGAAGCCGCATGGTGCGGCTTCCGGCTCCTTCTCCTCACATGGAGTTCTGTCTGTGAGAGAAGGAGCCGGATAGCCTGAGCAAGCCTGATCGCAAGTATCCCTAATTGTCCCTGATCACAGTGTCCCTGACTGTCTGTCCCCTGATCACAGTGTCCCTGATCACGTGTCCCTGACTGTCTGTCCCTGATCACAAGTGTCCCTGACTGTCCCTGACCACAAGTGTCCCTGACTGTCTGTCCCTGATCACAAGTGTCCCTGACTGTCCCTGACCACAAGTGTCCCTGACTGTCTGTGTCCCTGACCACAAGTGTCCCTGATTGTCTGTCCCTGATCACAAGTGTCCTTGACTGTCCCTGACCACAAGTGTCCCTGATCGTCAGTGTCCCTGATCTGCCAGTGTCCCTGATCGCCAGTGTTCCTGATCGCCAGTGTCCCTGATCGCCAGTGTCTCTGATCGCCAGTGTCCCTGATCGCCAGTGTCCCTGATCGCCTGTGTCCCTGATCACAAGTGTCCCTGATCGCCAGTGTCCCTGATCGCCAGTGTCCCTGATCGTCCGTGTCCCTGATCGCCAGTGTCCCTGATCGTCCGTGTCCCTGATCGTCCGTGTCCCTGATCACAAGTGTCCCTGATCACCAGTGTCTCTGATCGCCAGTGTCTCTGATCGCCAGTGTCCCTGATCGCCAGTGTCTCTGATCGCCAGTGTCCCTGATCGCCAGTGTCCCTGATCGCCAGTGTCCCTGATCACAAGTGTCCCTGATCACAAGTGTCCCTGATCGTCAGTGTCCCTGATCACAAGTGTCCCTGATCACAAGTGTCTCTGATCACAAGTGTCCCTGATCACAAGTGTCCCTGATCGTCAGTGTCCCTGATCACAAGCGTCCCCGATCACAAGCGTTCCTGATCGTCAGTGTCTCTGATCACAAGCGTCCCTGATCACAAGCGTCCCTGATCACAAGCTCCTTGATCGTCAGTGTCCTTGATAGTCAGTGTCCCTGATCGTCAGTGTCCCTGATCGTCAGTGTCCCTGATCGCCAGTGTCCCTGATCGTCCGTGTCCCTGATCGCCAGTGTCCCTGATCGCCAGTGTCCCTGATCGCCAGTGTCTCTGATCGCCAGTGTCCCTGATCGCCAGTGTCCCTGATCACAAGTGTCCCTGATCATCAGTGTCCCTGATCACAAGTGTCTCTGATCACAAGTGTCCCTGATCACAAGTGTCCCTGATCACAAGTGTCCTCCTGATCATGTCAGTGTCCTGATCACAGTGTCCCTGATCACAAGTGTGTCTGATCACAAGTGTCCCCTGATCACAAGTGTGTCCCTGACAAGTGTCCCTGATCGTCAGTGTCCCTGATCACAGTGTCCCTGATCACAAGAGTCCCTGATCACAAGCGTCCCGTTCCTGATCGTCAGTGTCTCTGATCACAAGCGTCCCTGATCACAAGCGTCCTTGATCGTCAGTGTCCTTGATCGTCAGTGTCCCTGATCACAAGTGTCCCTGTCCCAGTGTCTCTGATCGCCAGTGTCCCTGATCGCCAGTGTCCTGATCGCCAGTGTCCCTGATCGCCAGTGTCCCTGATCGCCAGTGTCCCTGACGTGGTCGCCAGTGTCCTGATCGCCAGTGTGATCGCCAGTGTCCCTGATCACAGTGTCCCTGATCACAAGTGTCCCTGATCGTCAGTGTCCCTGATCACGCAGTGTCCCTGATCACAAGTGTCCCTGATCGTCAGTGTCCTGATCAGATCCAAGCGTCCTAACATGTCCCTGATACAGCGTCCAATGATCGTCAGTGTCCTTTCCTCACAGTCAGTGTCCTGATCGTCAGTGTCCCTGATCATCAGTGTCCCTGATCGTCAGTGTCCCTGATCGCCAGTGTCCCTGATCGCCAGTGTCCCTGATCGTCCGTGTCCCTGATCGCCAGTGTCCCTGATCGCCAGTGTCCCTGATCGCCAGTGTCCCTCTGATCGACCAGTGTCCCTGATCGCCAGTGTCCCTGATCGCCAGTGTCCCTGACTGTCCCTCACAAGTGTCCCTGATCACAAGTGCCCCTGATCACAAGTGTCCCTGATCGTCAGTGTCCCTGATCACAAGTGTCCCTGATCACAAGTGTCCCTGATCGTCAGTGTCCCTGATCACAAGCGTCCCGATCACAAGCGTTCCTGATCGTCAGTGTCTGATCACAAGCGTCCCTGATCACAAGCGTCCCTGATCACAAGTGTCCTTGATCGTCAGTGTCCTTGATAGTCAGTGTCCCTGATCCAGTGTCCCTGATCGTCAGTGTCCCTGATCGCCAGTGTCCCTGATCGCCAGTGTCCCTGATCGTCCGTGTCCCTGATCGCCAGTGTCCCTGATCGCCAGTGTCCCTGATCGCCAGTGTCCCTGATCGCCAGTGTCCCTGATCACAAGTGTCCCTGATCATCAGTGTCCCTGATCACCAGTGTCCCTGATCACAAGTGTCCCTGATCACAAGTGTCCCTGATCGTCAGTGTCTCTGATCACAAGTGTCCCTGATCACAAGTGTCCCTGATCACAAGTGTCCCTGATCACAAGTGTCCCTGATCGTCAGTGTCCCTGATCACAAGTGTCCCTGATCACAAAGTGTCCCTGATCACAAGTGTCTCTGATCACAAGTGTTCCTGATCACAAGTGTCCCTGATCGTCAAGTGTCTCTGATCACAAGTGTCCCTGATCACAAGTGTCCCTGATCACAGTGTCCCTGATCACAAGTGTCCCTGATCACCAGTGTCCCTGATCA